TATCATCCTAGCACTCTGGGAGGCCAAGATGGGTGGATTGCTTGAGCTCAGAAGTTCAAGACCTGTCTGGGAGAGAGCCCATCTTACTAAAGATAGAAAACCGGAGGCAAGAGGATCACCTGAGCCCAAGAGTTTGAGGTTGCTGTGAGCTATGATGGCATGGCACTCTATCCAGGGTGACAGAGTGAGATTCCATCTCAAGAAAAAACAAAAACAAAAAACTAATAATATATCGACACAAAATATGAATACAAGTCACCTTGAGCACCTCTTATGACTGCCGAAGTCAAACGTGACTTGAGTATTTGTAATACAGTTCTTTCTTTCTTAAAATTTTTGTGTATACATTCATTTGGCACCCTCTGTACATCTTTTCAGAATTATCTGGTCCAAGTTATTCAGAAATGTTTCCCTTGAAACTACATATGTGATAATTTGCTCTGTTTTAGAGAGATAATTTAACTTTAAATTCTTCATTTTACATGTAAGAAGCAGGAGATGATTAAGATACAAACTGGTCAGTGGCTTCTGCATGGTGTGGTGAAGGGCAGGGTTTCAGCCTGACTTAATAGACAGCCCCTTCTGTCTTTGTTTATCAGGGATGTGACTACTACAGCAAGAAGTTTACGTGAGAAAATTAAGGTTAAAGTACTTTCTCAATTGTAGAGCAAAGTCATGTGGTACTGACAGCAATAAAATATGAGGGAAAGTAAGTAATAACTTCCAGCTGGTACAGGAGGAAGCATAGACTTAGTAACTAGATTTAGGAGAGTGGCAGGAAGAAGTTAGGTGCCCCACATATTTGGACTTCAGTGCTTTAGTAGAGGGAGGTAAAATGAAATATGGGGGAAGATGTGTTCTCCAGTGGTTTGCCAAACAGTACTTCTCTTTGAGTTCTGAAATAAATTTCTGATTACAAAATTTTGGGTTTCTCTACAGAGAGAAAAAGAAGGAATTGGAACGTGAAGAACTGTGGAAAAAATTAGAAGAGCTAAAGCTAAAGAAAGTTCTAGAAAACCAGAACAGTACGGACAGTATTCTCAGCACTGCAAGTGCTGAATAAAAAAAAAAAAAAAAAAGCCTATCACCTCTGTTGGATAGGCAGTTTTGTATACTTTTTTGAAATATGTAAAAATTACAAAAAAAACCTCATCAGTATAATATAATTAAAAGGCCAATTTTTTTTCTGGCAACTGTAAATGAAAAAATACACGGACTAAACATAGCCCTGTGCTATATCATGGCCACAGTATATTGTAACTTTTGTCTAATCATTGATGTGTCACTTCTAAAGTTTCACAGAAACGAATGAATTTTATCATCTATGATATGAATGAGATAATTATGGGAGTGGTAAGAATTATGACTTGAATTCTTCTTTGATTGTGTTGCACATAGATATGGTAGTCCGCTCTGTGTATTTTTTTCTTTTATAATGTGCTTTTCATATTGCTGCAGACCTTAGTTACATCCTAGGAAAAAGAATACTTCCTAAAATAAAACTAAGGTATCATCCTTATCCTTCCCTTTGTCTCTCCCAGAAATATGATGGGGGTAATTACCTGCCCTAAGTCCTCGCTCATTAAAAAATATTACTGTACTCTGGAATTAGAGTAAAACCTTAAATCTCCAGGTTTTTTAAAGCACAAAATATAATAAAAGCTGGGAAAGTAAACCAAAATTCTTCAGTTTGTTCCTTATGACTATATCCCTTCATCTGCAACTCCCCAAAGTGATGAACAGATGAGTAGAGACAGCTCATGTGAATACTCAGCTTGCCTCTCAATTCATTCCTCCTCTTCCTCTCAAAGGCTGAAGGCAGGGCCTTTCCAGTCCTCACTACCTGCCCTTCCCCCAAGTCCCTCCTAACCCAGGGATGGAGGCTTTGAGTCCCACAGTGTGGTGATACAGAGCGCTAGCTATCACTGCCTGGCTTTATTTAAAGGAAATGCAGTAGGGTTCCTCTGTAGAGTTCTGAAAAATTGACTATATAGAGGTCTTGTATGTTTTTACTTGGTCAAGTATTTCTCACATCTTTTGTTATCAGAGTACCATTCCAATCTCTTAACTTACAGTTGTGTGGAAAACTGTTTTGTAATGAAAGATCTTCACTGGGGGATTGAACAGCATTTAATAAAGTCTATGTTTGTATTTTGCCTTATGTCATCTTTGCTATTTTTGGCTCCTACCTTAGGCATACAGGAGAAGCTTGTCCCCCTTTATAGATACACAAATACACGTATTTCATAGAAATTTTTGAGAAAAATTGAGGGATGTGTTCTAATTAAAAAGTAGGAAGATTGTGTGCTAGATTGAAAGTTCCAGACATTTACCAAAATATATCTGTTTTATAGCATATATGCCCAAAATTCTAAGCTTTAGGCTATCCTTGTATACTCCTTACTGTTCCTATCAGAACATCGGTTTGACTTAGTTTGAGGCTAGTTTTAATTATAATCCATAATAAATAACCACTTTTTGTGATAAGCAGGGAGAGTGTAGGAATTACAAGTCAGACATTATCATTAAGCATTTTTAGCTACTGATACTTATGCTTTAACATCAATTAAAACAACTCTTAACATGGCTCAGCACCTGTGGCTCAAGTGGCCAAGGCGCCAGCCACATACACCAAAGGTGGAGGGTTTGAATCCAGCCCAGGCCCACCAAACAACGAAGG